ATCTTTCCCCTTCCCTGTGCTTTCAATCATCTTTTGTCTTTGAATCTAAAATAGTTTCCTTAGATAGCAAACAGTTAGATCATGTTTTTTAAATCTATTCTGTGAGTCTCTAACTTTAATTGTAGTATTTAATCCATTTAAATTTAATGGATTTAAATTTAATTTAATGGATCCAGGAAAAGCAGGATTTGCATCTGCCATTTTGCTCTTTGTTTTCTATATATCCTTTTTGTTTCTGTAATCCTCCATACTGCCTTCTTTTGCATTAAATGTATATTTTCTAGTGTACAATTTTAATTTCCTGTCATTATTTTACTGTAGGTGCCCTGGTGTCATAATTAATGTTTTAGTTTATAGGAATCTAGTGGGTCGTCAGGAAAGTCATGATGCATTTTTGCATTGAAAAACAGAAAAATACGTCATGACTTTCCCGACGACCCAATAGTTTGGATTAATACCACCTTGATTTCAATAGCATGTAAAAACTTTGCTCTTATACAGCTCTATTCCTTTGCGATATTATTGTAATACAAACTATATCTTTATATCTTATATGCTGCTCATCAACATAGATTTATAATTATTGCTCAATGCAATTATCTTTTAAATTATGTAGGAGAAAAAGTTACAAATAAAGATATATTTATGCTATCTTTTATATTTACCAATGTAGTTACCCTTATTAGTGCTATTTCTTTCTTTTTTTATGTATATTTTATTTTATTTTTAATTGGGGAATTGGGGGAGGAGAACAGTGTTAGGGAATTGGGGAGGGGGGGGGACCAGCCAAGTTGTTGTTCTTTAATCCTAGTTGTGGAGGGCGCCAGTCGCCATCTGGCTGCTGGTCGGCAGCTAGTGGCCTCTAAGCTCAAGGTGCTGTTACAGTCTAAGTTGCAGGTGGGCATAGCCATCATCCCATGTGGCAGTCGAACCCGGCAGCCTTGTTAAGAGCCACTGAGACATTGGGCGGCAGCTCAGCTCAAGGTGCTGAGCTCAGTCTTAGTTGCGGGTGGGTTTGCCCACCATCGAACAGGCAGTCTTGTTGTTAGGAGCACGTGCTCTCACCAGCTGAGCCATCCTGCCACCTGTTGGCAGCTCAGCGGCAGCTCAGCTCGGGCGCAGCGTCACTGGCCCATGTGGGAATCGAACTGGCAGCCCTGTTGCTCAGAGCTTGCACTCTTAAGCTAACTCTTAACCAACTGAGCCACTCGGATGGCCCCTGGTGCTATTTATTTCTTAATGTGGATTTGAGCTACTGTGTAGTGTCCTCTCATTTCAGCCTTAAGGACTTCCTGTAGTATTTCTTGTAGGACAGGTATGGTAGTAACAAGTTTTCTCTGTTTAGTGAAGAATGCCTTAATTTTTCCTTCACTTTTGAAGGAAAGTTTTGGTGGATATAGAATTCTTGATTGACAGTCTTTTTCTTTCAGCACTGATTATAACTACTGCATACTGGCTTCCATAGTCTCTAATGAGAAATCATCAGTTAATCTTTTTAAGGATGCCTTTTATGTGAGGAGTAACTTCTCTATTTTTGCTTTCAAGACTCTCTCTTTTTTTTGGCTTCCAATAGTTTGATTATGATATGTCTAGGTGAGGATCTCTTTGAGTTTATTATACTTAGACTTTATTGAGCTTCTTGGGTGTGTAGAATAATGCTTTTTTTATCAAATTTGAGAAGTTTTCACCATTATGTCTTAAAAATTCTTTCTGTGCTTTTTTTTCTCCTTCTGAGACTTTCATTATGCATAGGTTGATATGCTTGATGGTGTTCCACAGGTCTCTGAGGCTCTGTTCAGTTTTCTCCATTCTTTTTTCTTTGTTTTCCTCAACCTGGATAATCTCAATTGAACTATATTCAGGTCTGTTGATTATTTTTTCTGCCTGTTCGTATCTGCTGTTGAGTCCCTATAGTGAATTTTTTATTCTGATGATTGTACTTTTCAACTGCAGAACTTCTGTTTGGTTCTTTTTTAACAAATAATTTATTTCTTTTTATTAACAGTATCTGCTTAGACATTGTCCTCGTACTTTCCTTTAGTTATTTAGACACGATTTCTTTTAGTTCCTTGAACACATTTAAAATTGCTAATTTAAAGCCTTTGTCTGGTAAGTCCAACATCTGGGTTTCCTGAGGAATAGTTTATATTGACTGCTTTTTTCCCCTTGTGTATGAACCATATTTTCTTGTTTCTTTTAGTGTTTCATAATTTTTTTGTTGAAGGTTGGACATTTTAAGTAATAAAATATGGCTACTCTGAATATCAGATTCTCCCCTTCCCAGAATTTGTTGTTGCTGTTTGTTCATTTAGTGACTTTCTGAACTTATCATGCAAAGTCTGTATTCTTTGTCATGATAGTCACTGAAGTTTCTTTTCAGTTAGCTTAGTGACCAGATAATGATTACACAGAGTCTTTTTTAAATGCCTGAAACCAGTAAGTCTCATAGTTTTTGGTAAGGGGCTTTGCGTGTATGTTGGGCACACCTTCAACAATCATCCAGGCAGTTTATAACTTCACCTTAGCCTTTACTTTGTGCTTGCACAGAACCCCAAAGTAAGCCTAAAGTGAGAGCTTAGCCCAGCGGTTCTCAATCTTCCTAATGCCGCGACCCCTTAATATAGTTCCTCATGTTGTGGTGACCCCCAACCATAAAATTATTTTTGTTGCTACTCTATAACTATAATTTTGCTACTGTTATGAATCGTAATGTAAATATCTTTTTGTTTTTCGATGGTCTTAGGCGACCCCTGTGAAAGGGTCATTTGACCCCCAAAGGGGACGTGACCCACAGGTTGAGAACCGCTGGCTTAGAACTTCTCAGGATGTGTCCTGAGCATGCCCATAGCCCTTGGCATGTGGGTGGTCATCTAGATTTCCAGGAATATGTTGGAGCTTTTGAAAGCCCCTGTGGATATCTCAATCACAAGTTTTTCCTTGTAAGTTGTTTTAGTTAGCCTATTGTTTGACCAACTGTTATCCACTGCTTTAGGAAGCCTCAATGTTAAAAACTTGCCTCTAATTACATTTTCAGCAACTGTCTCCAGAGAAAAGGCAGTTACTGTGTGTCAGGTTAAATAAAGACAGTCTGCTAAATGCTGTCTTCCAGGGAACCACCAGGCAGTTCAAATAATGATGGTTCTCTGGGAATGGGATTTTTTAAGAAGCCCCACTCCTTCTCTACTCTTTTCAGTGTCTGTTAGGCCACTGTTTTAAAGCTGTGATTACAGGCTATTGGTTTTCAAGGTTACTGCAAATTTGAGAAGGGGTAAGTGGGAACAAGGCAAGTAAAACACCATAAAATACACTGTTCTTACCAGATTCAGTTATCTTTCTTGAATATATGCTCTCCAGATAGCTGCAAGCCTTTGGATAATTTCCCAAGTTCTGAAAAGTTATTCTAAAGATGTTTCCCAGTGTTATTATTTCTTTTATGGAGCAGAGAATTTTGAGAGGCCCTGATTTCACCATTTCTCTGACACATCCCTGTTCATTTGTTTTTAACTTCAAATTTGTTTCTTTTATTTTGGCGAGTAGAAAAGACAGTATATTTGAAGAGAAACAAGACCAGGATTCTTTTTCAACTATGTGTGTGACATTTTCTCTCTTCACATTTGGGCCTCAGTTTTTCTATCTGCAGAGAAGGGTTACAAATACATTTCCCCATCAACTCTGTAGGGCTCTGTGAACTACATGCTGTTATGTATGTGGAGATGCTTTGGTCTCTTTGGAAGAAAATCACATCATTTCCTGAAGCTTCACGATTGTTACTTCCAGTTTTGCTTCCCACTGTGTGTCCTTGATCAAGCCACTGAACCAACCAATTGCTTGTCTTTCTCTTCCTTCTCCCTTCTTCCCCCACACCTCTCACTTTTTTTTTAAAGATTTTATTGGGGAATTGGGGAAGGGAACAGTGTTGGGGAATCGGGGAAGGTGAACACTGTGTTTTTCCAGGATCCATCAGCTCCAAGTCAAGTTGTTGTCCTTCAATCATAGTTGTGGAGGGTGCAAGCTCAGCTCCAAGTCCAGTTGCTGCTTTCAATCTAGTTATGGGGGGGAGGAGGGCGCAGCCCACCATCCCATGCAGGAGTCGAACCAGCAACCTTGTTGTTAAGAGCACACGCTCTCACCAGCTGAGCCATCCCACCGCCTGTTGGCAGCTCAGCTCGGGCGCAGCTCACTGGCCCATGTGGGAAATGAACCAGCAACCCTGTTGCTCAGAGCTTGCGCTCTAACCAACTGAGCCATCCGGCCAGTCCCCCACCCCTCGCACTTTTTAATGAAGAGACAATGCTCTTTTCCCCATAGATATGCCAGTAAATTTACATTGTTTCAAATATCTTTAAAAATACTTGAAGTTGTTTAGGAAAAACTGTTATTTACAGTTTGACTAGAAATTATGATTATTTTATACATATGAAGTGTATTTTAATGCAATCCTGAGTGTGATAATTGGAAGTTTTTTGTATTATACATAATAATAGAAATAGAGTTTTGAAACCTTCAATAGTCTTTAATATGCTCCCATCTCCGTCCCCCCCCCTCTCTCTTTCTCTCTCCAATCAAGTACCTCCCTAATTCCATCAAATCGAAGTTTTTCTGCGGAAAGTGGTTGCAACTAATAGCTTTTTAAAAAAAATGTGGTTAAATATATGTAACACAAAATTTATCATTTTAACTATGTTTAAGTGTATAATTCAGTGACATTTAAGTACATTCACATTGTTATGCAATGTATGCATCTCTTTTTGAAAAATGTACATTCTATAGTTCCTTGACAATATTTGCTTTGTGAACCAATATTGTTATTAAAATTAAGTATTATGGACTGTACTGGTTTTTGCTCGTTCATTTTGTAGGAAGCCATGAGATTTTAAAAACATGGTAGGTATTGATTTCATTGGTCATGCTTCCTTTACCTCATTTCATTTCTGAAAACAACTTGAACACCCTAATTGTTCATGTCCACTGTTTAATTCACATCTCTTTTGGTGATGCAGGTTGCAGTGCAGGCAGGAGTTAACTTGGGAACAGCTGTGTCAAGAGGATTATATCAACCAGCAACAATCTTTATGGGCCGCCAAATGTCAGTCGTCTCAAGCATTGGAGATTTCAGTACAGAGCAGAAATCTCCCCAACCCACAAAGAACTTTTCAATCCCTGACCCACATCCACACCAACAGACAACCCTGAGCAGTAAAGTGACAGACAGCTATGTAGTACAAACTAATAGTGACACACGGTGCTTAAATAAGTCTCACAAAATAGATGGAAAGACATCTCTTCAGATTGGTGAGAAAATGCCAGTCACAGCCAGCACATTGTCTGAGGAGGAACAAACTCACTGCTTGGAGATAGGAAGCAACAAACGTCATAGCAAGAGTAATTTATCTGAAGGCAAAAGGTCTACTGAACTCCATTCCCCGTTACAGGAAAGATTAAGTCCAGAGAACAGAACCACTGATTTAAAGTGTGACAGTTCCAGTAGATCAGAGGGAGAAATACTGACACCAGAACATATTGAAGTCAAGGAAGAAAGAGCCAGACCGCCCATCTTTCCAATATCACTCTCAGAATACTGTGCATCTGAAAATAAGAGTTCTCAAGAGAAGCATTCTGGTTGGGAAGGTTTCTCAGGTGGGGTGAGAGGCTAAGATTGTTTCCTGATTTTTGTTGGTATTTAGTTTTTCTGGTTGGTAGTGATCATATGTACAAACAAAATATACTCTTTAATCTCTTTGTCAAAAACAAAGTAGTGTCTTTGCCAATAGATCGCATTCTAATGAGGTCCTAAATATGTATATGGAACTGTTTTTGCAAGTGAATTATCTGATTTTGAAACTCACTGTGATATTTTAAAAATATTTTAATGAGTTTTTAAATACTATAATGAGTTGTACATTGTTACTACCTGTTTTTAACTGATGAGTAATTTCCTATGTGAGGTGGAATGTCTTACCTTGTTTCTTCCTGAAGTTAGTGATCAGTAATCTATTCATATCCCCTTACAGATCATTTTCCTCACGGGGACTCAAAGTCACAGAAGCCCTTCAGAAAAATTCAGGAAGAACAGGAGGAAAGTTTAAGTAGCAGCAGTGACCTCACAGTTTCTGTAAGTGAAGATGATTTGATTTTAAAGAGTCCAGAACCACAGCCAAATCCAGATGACAAGATGGAGGGAGAAGATGGAATAGAGGCCTTAAAATTAATCCACTCTGAGCAAGAAAGGGATGCCCCATCTACTGAAAAACATAATTGTATTTTGCAAACCATAAGCTCTCCTGATTCAAAAAAGGAATCCTCCACTAACTCACCAACAAGAGAGTAAGCCATTCAATTTTTTTTACTATTCTGTTTTTATAGACATTTTTAGAGACCATTATACTGGGAATGTATTATTGAACACTCAGCTATGAATGTGTAAGTTCCTTAAGTCTCATAAATAGTCTTTTAGATAAGGTCTAATTTTCTTCTTTAAAAAGTTTTTTTTAATTTTTTTTTATTTTTATTTTTTATTATTG